TAAATTCTGGTCTATTGTTTGGATAAGAAATGATTCATTATGTTAGGACCGATTTAATGAAATTCTCTCAGAGTTGATGCGTAGCTTTTTTTTGTTTAGAAATATATTATATGACTGAATCTTTACAGAATTTCTTCACGTTTGTGATTGAAGAGATGAATGGGCTGCTCCTTTCACGTTCATTAAGTAGAAATTTTCAATATGTTAATGGCTACAATGCATTATTAGAGGAAAAATTACCTTTTTGATAATCATATGTAAGGGTTTTATCAATTGCTTTCATTTTTTGACATTACTTATATCGACGCTAATGGAAAATGACGTCTAGAAACTAAAAACTTGCTGCATTCATTGTCTTAGACGAAATGTGGCAATTTGCAATGTTGGCAGACGCTGGTTTGTCGAGGAGTGAGAACGATGAGTCCAGTTCATCTCAGACCACCTTATCCGCTGTTGGTTCGCTCCAGAGGCCACACTGAACGGGGCCCCCTGTATTATGAAATATGGGAATGGCCTGACAGGGAAAGCGGCTGGAGCGCACTTAGCCCAAAGTTTCAGAAGAATAATCTTCCTGCATTACGAGGTAAGCTTTTTCGTAACAATCTCTCAGAAAATCATTCAATTCTCTGTAAATTTGTTTCCATTTTTCTGTTTTACTTCAAATCAACCGATGTCTTATTCTAGTAAATTGTTGCTTAGAATCGCTGTTAGCGTTAAATGAGTTCCTGTTGTTCACGCTGTGTCGTTTAACTAGAATATTTTTATGTATATGTGGCGGAATGCTACAGAGCATATTTGTAAACTGTAATACAATAGTAATAAAGTATGGAAAAATTGCGTAAAACCCGGTTTACTTCACAACGCAAAAGATACTGTTGTCAATGTGGTGATTGACCAATACCGACGTTTCGACCCGTGATTCACGGGCCTTTTTCAAGGTAGATTGGTGATGGTAAATGTGGTTTCGTAAATATGGTTAGTCGTCTGCAGCAGTCGATAGTTTTGAAGCCAGAAGGCCAGCTTTCGGTCATTCGGTCAAAAGCAAAGTATATTTGTATGTGATGTAGAGGGCTGGCAAATTTGGCACTGAAACTCTCTGGCTTTATAGCTCTGTTATTAACGATTAAGTTCTGGACATGGTCCAGAGTAAAGATATCCGGAAAAGCCTTGGTATATAGCCGCTGCAGATTGAGAAGTTACTTCTTTCAAATGCCTCCATGAATCAAGGCGAAGCAAATATTTCTTGCCCTGCCGACCGGCAGAAGACCCAGGGGACAGTTAAGATTAACTTGAAGCAATTATATGGAAGATGTCTGCTCTCGACTTCGGTTGTCTTCTGCCGAAGCTGAAAGACTTGTACAGGACTGGGAGCGTTGGAAACACCGTCTGACATGTCTGACTTCGCGACCCGCAAGGACAAGCAGTCATAGAAATTGATTGATTATTTGACTGATATTAACAATTAATGCTTTGTTAATGTATAATATCTAGCTTTTAGATTATACTGGTTGTCAACCCACTGGTTACTTGGATCCGGCTACAGAGCAGTTCGTTACCGTTCCTGAAATGATTCCGGAACTTGTAGTGCCAAATCTGAAAGGTTTTAGGGTAAGTTTTAACTAGCAAATAACACATCATCCGATCTGCCTGACTTCAGCTATAAATGAGTCCACTTACCTAGCATAAATAACTTCGAAATCTTCGTTGGGCTTACATGAACGTGAAACATATAATCACAGCTTCCTGTAATGCTTGATTATGTGTTGTAAAACTCTCTTTAAACTCTCTTCTAATAACGAATCATCAGTTATTGATATCCGATTTTTAAACGATGGAAATGAAAAGACGTACCAATATCATATATGTTGTAACATATATATTCTGTCTTAATTGATACAGAGAGAAAGGAAATGTCTTCATGAGAATTCTTCCTCTCAGATAGCCATTCGAGGTGATATTAAATGGCAGACAGACCTGCACTGTATAATAATCTGAAATCCGTCGTAACAAGGTTAACTGCATTTGAAAAGTTTCAAGCTAAGCAGGCTTCCTCTATCACTTGAGATATGTTGCATCATTTTTTAAATCTAGTATCACGAGCGGTTTACTGAAACAACGCAAAGAATTTATTCCAACAAATGACAGGTTAAGGTGGCGATATATCCCTGATTCACCAATTATATTATGCTTGACGGTATCAATAATTAGCAGTATGCTAATAAACCAATAAGATCGGGTTTTATTTTTGTGTATAAATATGCCTGCTGATCGTGGCATATTTACAAGTGTCCGAATAGGCCTTTGTTCGGCCCTGCCTAATGATGCGGTTCTTCATCCGCCCACTGCTAGTGCTCAAATTCCATGGAGTCGTGGCTTGCTTAAATGGTCCTCTAGGCGATTAGAATCAAAGGGT